TAACATAAAGAAAAAGCAATGGATTCAGGAAATCACTTTAGGAAAAATAATAAGCCAGACTATAAATGATTAGCCACATGTAATACAAAGAAGGGTGATGATGAAGATGAGTTTGCTTTTGGACATGTTGCCTTTGAGATGCTTATGGTGCACTTAACTAAATTGTCCTGCAACTATTTGGGCATACGAATCTTGAGATGGAGACTCAACATAAAGATTTGAAAAACCTCAACCTATATGTAGTAACAAACAAACAAACAAAGAGTAGCTGAGCTGATTCCGGGAGATGATGAAGAGTGGTAAAAGATTGTTCATACAAAATGAAGCTGAAAGTTAAATAAAAACAAGGTCTGAAAAGTTTACATTGTATATGGTATAAGCAGTCACCTCAGAATAGGAGCACAGACCAGATTAAAACAGGTTGAGGAGTAAATGAAAACTGTGGAAGGAAAGGCATTGAATGAAGAATATTTAGTGAATTTGGCTAAAAGAAGAATGAGCAAGAGGAAGCAACAGCTAGATGTTTTGGATAATTATGGTTGGGAATTTGGTTTATGTTTGTTTGTTTTTAAGGCTGAATAAGAAGTGAGTTTGTTTTCATGTTGTAGAAAATGAACAGTGGAGATGAACAGAAATAACTGGTGGTGGATAGAACAAAATATGGTCCAAGAGGGATATGAAATGATAAGATTTAAATCACCAGCCTAATGGACTGCCTACCAAGGGTGTCCAACCTATGGCACACGGGCTGCATGCAACCCAGGCTGGCTATGAATGCAGCCCAACGCAAAATCATAAATTTATTTAAAATGTCATGAGACTTTTTTGTGTGTGATTTCGTGTTGCAACATATTTAACGTGTGGTTCAAGACACCACTTCTTCCACTGTGGCCCAGAGACGCCAAAAGGTTGGACACCCCTGGTGTAAACGTTTCAAAAGAAAGAAAGCCTCTCACACTCTGTGAAAGGTAAATATAGGTCTTGTTGAAGATAATTTTGTAGGTGCTATGGGAGGGGAGAGTAGAAGGTCCATATTCCAGATTACATAATTTTTCTGGATGACATAGAATGATATTGTTGAAAAGACTTTGAAAGGAATGGAAGACAACCAAGAAGTCCAAGTTCAAAGTCAGAGACCATTGTTTTGTACTCACCACTCCTAGAGTGTCATGATTTTCTCCAGCAGAGTTCAGCTGCACACACGCAGGAAAATGATGGCTTAACACAGGATCAGGGTCTTGCTGGGCAGTAACGACTGAAGGACATGGACATGGGAACTTGAAGGCACAACAAGTCCAACTGAGCGGGGCAGGAAGGGAATCAGGAAGGGCCAGATACCTGGGAGAAAATGGAGAGAAAATGGAAATCTATATGTACTTGAAGAGAAAGTGTTAAGGACAATGAGTTTGTGAAAAAAACCTAAAGGGTGTGAGTTTGTTATTAGAGAACTGAACATTGGATTCAATAATTTGGACATAGGACAATTCTTAGTTCTCTGTCCTTGGGTTAGGGAAGGTGCAGCAGTGGGGAAGATCTCCAGCTGAGATCGAGGGATTTTGAAATTAGTGGATAAATACATGTGGGCATGAAAATCATTCACAATAATAGTAACATTTAAGTTGAAGAAGAAAAAAATTAAGCCTGAGCAAAGCTTCAACAGCAGAAGGATGACAGCTTAATATGTATAATCCCTTGCTATCTGAGCGGGTGGGGTCAGGGAGTCTCCCCTGGAGAGGGGGTACTGTACGCTGGGAGGAAAAAAAGGAATGTCATATTCTTAGAAGAATAGAAGAAGAGGAAAGAAAAGGTTTCAGTTAAGACAAGGAGGAGCAGGACACATTTTGTTGAGGGGCTGAAAATATAGAGGAGTGTTTAATACAGAAGAGGAGTTTTAGAAAGCAAAGAAAAAAGGTTTGGGAGTATGAGTAAAACTCTTGTAGGGAAAAAAAATGATATAACTTTTATTAAGACTGTATTTCCCGGACTTGCCCACACCACCCTTGTTTGTATAGCACCTATTAACCTCTTACAGAAGTGGTGCTGTGTGGATTACAGCTCGGGAAACATTGGCAGAGCACTCGAGGAGAGCAGGCTGTGAACCGTCCTGCGGTGGGGTTGGCGCCAAGTCACGGTAAACTCAAGTCTTAGGGTATCCGGAGGGCACTGCTTGGACAAGGATGAGCCAGATTCAGGGCCACCCAATTTGTTGGGCTGTTTTCATGGCCATTTGTCTTTTCAGCTTAGATAAAACTGTGACCTCTGTGAAATCAGAGACAGTTGTAATTGCTTTACATCTCTATAACATTTGGCTTATTATTGAGCATATTAGTAAATGCTAAATAAATATTTCTTTTTACTGAAACTTGCAGCAAGTAAAATAAATTACAACTTAGTTGTTATTCCTTGCTTCTTTCTGTCTTTGTTGGAGATTTATTTTCCATTTAGGTTTTTAACCTAATGTTAAATACCTAAGCAGATATTTAATTTAATATTGACTTAACACCTTTTTTTTTTAAATCTTCACCAGAGGATGTGTTTAGAGAGAGAAAAAACAAGAGAGAAAGAAAGGAAAAGAGAGGAACATTTATTTTCTGCTTCCTATATGCACCCTGACTGGGGATTGAGCCCACAACCTACGTATGTGCCCTAACCAGGGATTGAACCCACAGACTTTTTGGTATATAGTATGATGTTCCAAGCAACTGAGCCACCTGCCCAGGGCTTGACTTACACCTTTTAATATCTCCTGTACCTACATACATCCTATCTTTAATAATTTTGATGAAGTAGGCCTAGAAAAAAACAATAAGAATATTTGATATTGCTGATTAGTGAAATACTCTAATTATTAGAAGTAAAACAAGATAAAGAAGAAGTAGTTGGGCAGATTTAGGATGTAGCTAAATTATTCATTTAAAAGTTGTGGTTTTTTTCAAGTAAAATATTTAAAATCCATGTGAATTTTTTGAAAAACTTCCACACTGTTTTCTATAGTGGTTGCACCAGTCTGTATTTCCACAAACATTAGGGTTTCTTTTTCTTCACATTCTTGCCAGCACTTTTTGTTTGTTGATTTATTAATGATAGCCATTCTGACAGGTGTGATATGATATTTGATTTGCATTTCTCTGATGATTTGTGATGTTGAGCATCTTTTCATATGTCTATTGGCTATCTGGAATATATCCAAGATAATCCGAAACACTAATCGGAAAGAATATATACACTGCTATGTTCATTGCAGTGTTATTTACAATAGCCAAGATTTGGAAGCAATGTAACTTCCCATTGGTAGATGAGTAGATAAAAAAGCTGTGGTACATACACAATGGAATACTACTCTGCTGTAAAAAAAAAAAGGAAGAAGGAAGGAAAGAAAGAAGTATAGAAAGAAGAAAAAAACCTTACCTTTTTTGATAGCATGGATGGACCTAGAGATTATTATGATAAGTGAAATAAGCCAGTTGGAGAAAGACAGACATTAAATGATTTCACTTATATATGGAATCTAATGAACACAATAAAGGAACAAACAGAATAGAAACAGCCTCATGGTTACAGAGAACAGCTTGACAACTGTCAGAGGGAAGGGGGGCGGGGGACTGAGTGAAAAAGGTGAAGGGATTAAGCAATACAAATTGATAGTTATAGAATAACCACAGAGATGTAAATTACAGCATAGTTAATATAGTCAATAATATTGAGATAAATAGGTATGGGGCCAGTTGTCTACCACTCTGTAAAGTACATTATTTTTTTAACCACTTTGCTATACATATGAATCTAATACAGAATAATATTGAATGTAAACTGTAATTGAAAATTTTTAAAAAGTATAAAAAATATGTATTTGACCAAAATATAACTGTCAGAAACTTACTCTTGAGAATTCTCTAATTAGCTTATATAATAAAGTAAATATAGTTTTATGTCTAGAAGATAATATGTAAGTATAAATGTATAATATATAAAGGAACACATATAATTTAATATTATAGGAATAAAAATGAAAATACAATTTATAATATTTATAATTGCACATGGAGTAAAGAAAGAGGCATGCAAATTTTTGAATATGTGAATATCAAACGCAAATTATTATGTGATTCTCTGGGAAATATAAAAACAAAGACACAAAATAGTTGAAAATTTGAACTTTGAGCATGGTACAGCTATGAGTTACAATAGATTTTTTTAAATGTTAATGCTATGTGTTACTCATTTATTTATATTCTTCAGTGAGAGCAAGAAAATGCAAGAAAAAGGAGAAGGAACTGAAAAAAAACTCTAATCTCTGGATGGTTTGATGCAATGTCTTTCTACATTAGCAGAGCTTATTCTTCTGTTTTTACGAAAGAGTTCCAAACATTTACTGATGGGCTCTACCTCCTTTGATAGAGTAGTTTCACAGTGTAATACAAACCCAGACTGTCTGATTTGGATTTTGCTAGTCTATTTTTCTCACTTTAAAGATGTAGATACAGAGGCTCAGAAATACAGTCGTAAAAGTACCTATACAGTCTTTCTCTCCTGAAGAAGATCCAGGATTCAGAGAATCCCAGGCAGTCACACATATCAGGAATCTTTACTTCCACTGTTGAGACTTACCTTGATCCACAGGCCTTAAAGCTCAGGTCTGGATGATTTGAATTGTGTTTGGTGTCCCTGAACCCAGAAAACAGGTGAACATGTTGTGTTAGACTCTTTTTGTTCCACTCACTTCCTTGTTGTAGTTGTAGTGAAACATTTGTTTATAAAACCTTCCTCTCCAGTCAGGCTAAGAAAAGCAATGTTATCTAGACTAACCTTCCCTTGTATACAAGAGAAAAAAGTTTAAAGACTTTGCAAGGTTAGAAAAACAAAAACTCCGTATTACAAAGGCTTTGGTACACTTTTATTTCTACTTTGAAGAAGCATATATGATTTTAGAGTCTAGAAGTTAATAGTCACATCCCCCACAGTATGTAGTTCACATTTCTAATTATTTTTTAATTATTTAGACTTCAAGGAGACAACATGGCAGAAAGAACAGAAGAGGCGTCACAAATATTTCATTCTCCAGATGAAAAAATCCCGGATTCTTCAAGTAAGTTTTAAATCCAACAATATCAACATAGCTGCCTGTCGTATGTCCACCTCTCCTTCAGGCTGTGTATTGGGAGGTTTAGGGAGAATGGGCATGGATTCTCAGGAGCAGCCTCTTAATGTCTATGACTGTTGAAGGCACAAACAGGTAAACTATATGTTGGCTACTCCCAAAATTCTGCCACTAATTTCAACTTGTTTTTGGAACTTTATATCGGCTACTCACATTTTCATATCACACAGGGTCCAGCACAAATAATGCCCCTTGTTTATTATAAAAATCTTTTATTACAAAATCATAAACATGTAATTCTGTAACATAATAGTATCACACTCAGGCACACCATATGACATTTTAGGTAAATGTTTAAGTTAAAACTACAAATTATTATACCTATATAATTACCATACCAACACACTCAAGCAGGCCTTACTTCGGCCAGACCCTGTAGATCTCTCACTCTTCCCAGGCAGAAGTGTCCATATTACACTTGATCTCACTACCTTATATTAAATTGTTCTCAAATTATGTCAATGTCACTTCAGAATTTTTCATTTAAGACAGCCTCCTCTGCATTTTGCCCAATGCTACCTGGTCTGTACGTGTGTCCTCCTTTTCTCTGTCTAGTGTAACAGCCCTAAAAATAGTCTCTCTGTGCTATTTCACTCCTCCTTAGTTCATTATCTGTCTAAAAGATAATACTGCTTATTTCACCCCCCATTTTTATAGGACAAAATTCAAACTCTTTAACTTAGCATACTAAGTTCATGTCAGGGCACTTCAAAATGTTTGTGGAATAAGTAATTAAGTGCATGTAATGCCACTATAATGGCATCAAATGCCCATCATCACTGTTTCATCACTCAGTGTTCAAGCAGGAATCAGTCAGACACCCAGCTTGGATATTTAAAAGAGAAACTATAAAACTATTTATTTTTACATCTGGATAGAGGAGGACATCTTAAACAGATGGAAAAATTCTTAACGATGAGAAAAAAAATTTAAAAAGTCAGAGTAGAAAGTTAAGAACTACTGTTCATCAAAGGATGCCTTAAAAAGTGAATAGATAAGCCATAAAATAAGAAAATATATTTGTCACTGATCAAATATTAATATTCAGAATATGTATAGAATATCTATAATTTAATAAAGAAAAGATCAACAAACCAATAGGAAAATAAGCAACAGGAATGAGTTAACATTTCACAGAAGAAAAAACACAATGGCCAATGAGCATTTGGAAGACGCCTCACTCTTCTGATAGTTAAGGAAAGGCAAATTAAGACCACAGAGAGGTACTGTTTTACAAGCTTTTGTTTGCCATTAATTAAGAAATTTGGCAAACCCAGTTGCTGGTGAAGACATAGATGAAAGGAAAGTCATGCACTACATGTGAGAAGTAAACAATTTTAGAAATTTTTCTATTATCTTAAAATCTTGGGCACTTATGCAACTTGAACTGAGACCCTCCTCTTTTAGGAAGACATCTTAAAAGGAACAAGTCACGTGCCATGACATGTGATGAGCCTTCTTAAAATGCTCCAGGACAGGAAAATGGATAGATTGTAGAATTGTTACATCATAGGAAACGGAATGCGTTTCAACTACACATAAGATGGATAAAAGCCGATGGGATGCTAATAAATATTAACAGTTGTTTCTTTGAGAAGAGAAAGTCCTGATTTGGAGAGACATGTGGTTTCCAACCAAGGGTGTCCAACCTTTGGGCATCTCTGGGCCACACTGGAAGAAGAAGAGTTGTCTTAGGCCACACATTAAATAGACAAACATTAATGAAAACTGTTGATCAAAAAGAAGGTTTTAAGTAAATTTATGATTTTGTGTTGGCTGCATTCATAGCCATCCTGGGCCGCAGGTTGGACACCCCTGGCACACACTCCCACCAAAGCTGAATTCAAGTAACCGATCCAAATGGCATCTGGGTCTCCCAGTTCGCATAAGCAGATTGCAGTTCACAACGGAATAAATCTGAAAAGCTTAGTATTGGTGAACAAAAACCAAGTTCTAGAATGACTTTTAGTTTAAAACTAGCAAATTTATTTAATATGTTCTTAAGTAGATACAAATAAGTGATGAACCTATATTTAAAGAGGAAATGAAAAACTGAAAATGGTAGTTATTGTCAGTGGGTAGGGGAAGCATAGAGGTAGGATGATGAAGTTGCTCACAGGTATATGAAGATTATTGGAAAGTTCTAATTCTTAAATAGGTGGTGGAGATTGGTGTTTTTACTGTGTTTTATAATGTAAGTATACTATATATTATGCATAAGTATAAATTGTACACACTTTTTATAGTCAAATATTAGCTAATGAATATTTAAAAATAAAGTGTGATGGAAACATAAACCAAAAAGAAAGTGTGATGGAAACATAAACACAATACAAAGAAATAATAATAGTTTATATGTGCTCAAATCTGTCATAGTACTAACGACATGACACACTCTCGACCTTGAACACTGGCACCAGAAGTTGAGCAATGTGCCAGCAGCAAAATGAGACCACAGGCTGGCCATTTGTTGACACAAGACATATATTATTTAACTACTAGTCCATTATTTGAAAAAATTGTCTCAAAACCATCCTAATCCACCAATCTAAAATCTGTATCTTCAGCAGTCATATTCATAATCACTGAGAATTATAAGGATTTAAATTTTTCGGAAAACTAATATGTTAGTAATATCTAGATTATATTTACTTGCATCCACTGGGGAAAAGATGTATTCATTAAGTTTAAGGTCCCTTCTTAAACTTCTTATATTCTGCATTCTTCATTTCAAATATTAGTAGAATTGATTAGCAAATTTGAAAAATATGGGTTTCTGATTTAATATTCTTTTCCATTTAAGTTAGTATAATAACTAGATCGAATAATTTAATATTATTGCTATTACTCTGAAGTGCTAATGTTATATTTGTATAATGTGATATTTGATAATTAGGCTCCATAAATATTTCTATGAATAGGTATGATTTTGTGCATAAAGGGCCTATTGTGACACAAATAGCAAAAGTCAAAATAATAGCAGGAGAAAGGTGAACAAACTAAACATGATAATAACCTCTACAGATTTCTAGGTTTCTTGCAGCATGCCCAATTACAACAGAGGTAAGTTCCCAGTTCAGTAAGTGCTGCCGGAGACTTAGATTTTGACAAAACTACTGTATCTTTCTATGCTTCAGGTTTTTCTTCTCTAAAAGGAAGAGACAAGACAAACTCTAATATTTGACCAATATAGAGACCCTTTTTCTCCTCAATATAATTTTGAAAAAGCTGAAAGAATTCATTACCTGTATTTTAAAAATCAGACTTATAAAAGAGTAACTAAACAGGGCAAAATAGTTTATACACATGCACCCAACAATTATTGTTAATCAGCAATGTACTAACATACTTTTAAATATGGAGCTCCAAGCATGAACTTAGATTTTATTTTTATGATATCTAATGTCCCTACTAGCATGTTAGGTGGATATTCTATAGATTTGAACTATTTAGCGAGTCTTTTCAACTAACAGTTTTTAATATGGTTAGATATGTAAATTCAAAAATGTTCTGGAAGGACCTCTCAGTCATCCTATACAATGCTGAATGGAATTCATCATATTTTTGATCCCTCTAGATATTGTACCAATAAACAGGTTGAAGAATTCAACCAAAGCAAGATTATTTTGTTTAACTTGTTATGAAAGCACCTAATAGAGTGTCTGACATACAGTGTTTGTTGAAAAATGAATATACAGATACACAGAAAAATGGATGAATGAATTGATTAATCCATATATGCATTACCAAATTAATCAGAATGATAATATCTCTTTAAAACCATGAACTACTTACTGAGAATTAAAGACTATGTTATATTATAGTACTTCTAACCTTCAAAAAATCAGCAAATCCACTAGAGGGTGGGTTTTCTTCTCCTATATGTGAAATAATTTGCTTTGTAATGCAGAACAGAACATTTTAATATTATTTATTAAATCAATATTCTACCCAAATAAGAATTTCAACACAAATAAAAGAGGAAAAATATGGAGTAAATCCTAAAATTATACTAGTATTTACTCATAGCTCAGTAGACTATAATTTAGTCTTAGAGGATTTAAGTTATTCTAATTTATACATCCTAATTTAAAAAGTCTATTGCCACCCTTAGCAACTGGGTAAATAAGGGTTCAAGTATTCTTTGTAAGTGCATTACTGTTTTGAACTTGGTTTAATTCTCATCATCTATATAGATTTTGTCAACAAAAATTTCCTTCTTAATGTCTATATTCTCTGTGGTAGGTGGTAGGTACAATTTTTAAATTTATTTACAACTTGAGAATGCAGTGGTGCTTCCAAAGTTAGTTTTATAGTGGAAGGAATTCCATGTTCTAAAATGAAATCTCCATTTACATCTAAATAAATTAAGTGCCCTGGGCTTCTTGAATGTAAAAATCTGAATTATCTGAAACAGAAGAAGCTCCTTGATTCCAAAGCTGTGATCATGGATTTATGTTAAGCTTCCCATTGTCCCCCTGGCCTCTGGGGGCCGTGAAGGGCTTGAAGTATTCAATGCTCTTAATTACTCTCCAGAGCACACATTTTATTCAGCAGAAAAGTCTGTCTCCATATTTACGTGTATGTGAAGGAAAATTTTTAAGGACTTATATGACTCTTTCAAATGTTAATAATGATAAGAAGTCAATTTTAGGAATCTCCAATGGTTTAAAATGTTTTTTATTTGAATAGAAGACACTCAAACACAGACTATTTCTAGATGTTCTATGTCACTGTCCTTATTGCAGAATTTTTTATAACTCATATAAATCCTTGTTATAATTAATTTAACTCAGCAGAAATATGGACAGGATTGCCATCATTTTATTCACATATTTGAAAGTCACTTCTCATTTATTCCTCAATCTATTCAAGGTGAGTAATCACAAGTTCTTGCCTGATACATTAAAATGGAAAAGTTACCATCATTTAATAATATGCACTCTTCTCCAAAATTTTCATAATTTCAAATCCTATTTAAAAGAAAGAATATAAATCTTAGCTGTTCTAAATAATGCTGCTATGAACATAGGGGTGCATATTTTTTTTGAATTGGTATTTTGGCGTTCTTAGGATATAGCATAAACAATAAAATATTTAAAAGAAAAAAATAAAATAAAGAATACAAAATGGCACTTGTGTGGCCTGAAGAAAAAAGGAACACAGCTGATGGGTAAAACAAAGAAATATAAAATTACAAACCAGAAAAAGGACATTAAATATAAGTTCCAACAATTAGCTGAATAATATGCTGAAAGAAACTTTGCTCTGTCCAAGATAACAGTAGCTCTTGCACATTCCTAACTTTGTGTCCTTCAGACAATGTGGGGGATTGACTATGGGAATGGGGGCAGGGGGCGATGGAGCAAGGGAGAGCAAAGGGGAAAAAGGACAACTGTAACTACACAAGAGCAATAGAAAAAAGAAATTCTTAACATTTTTGATAGGTTTTTCTTTAAACTAAATAAACAACATTTTACACTCTTATTTTAACCCACACTGTGACTTTCCGACAACTAGTTCAGTCATTTTAATATCTTTCTCATAATAGGCTTATATATCAGAGTAAAGCAATATATTATTATAATTTATTCATTCTTTTGGTAAAAATAGATTCTTTACCTGGGACTGAAGAAGCACTAATGGAGGAGCGTGAAGAGCTTGAGACAGCATCTAAATTAATGGGACCTGTAAGTATATTCATTTACTTATTTTTTAACCTCCTAAAACTAATTTATTTCACTAATAAGAAAATCTAATAGAAATAGAAAGGAATAGGAAACAATATTCTTTAAGTTGAAGAATATTTTAAATGTATACTTACTGTTTCCCTCATGCAGTCATGCAGAGTACTGTATCAGCAGGTGGCCAGCTTGATGACAGGTATGCAGCCAGGCTGTACTAACCTCTTTCAGTCATTAGGGAAGAAGATTTGAATGAGGTGGGAGAAACTAAATTCTGGTAATAATACCTGTTTGCTTGTGTACATGAACATTCTGTAAGATTATGAGTTGCCATCTTAAACTTCAGTAAGTTTAATTATACCTATCTTGATAGAAAAGCAAATGTTTTACATATCCTGAAAGTTTATATATAACATGAGCTAGCTGTTATTAGTTGTGATGTCCTTGTGATTATATATATACATATGTATATATATTTAAACTATATCTGTTCAGTAGAGTATTGGGTGAAAACCACTAGGTTTAAGATTTTCAATGCAGAAGCCCCGGCCAGCTAGCTCATTTGGTAAGAATGTTGTTCTGATAGGCCAAGGTTGTGGGTTTGATCCCCTGTCAGGATACATACAAGAAACAACCAATAAATGCACACGTAAGTGGAACTGAAAGGCGATTGTTTCTTTCTCTCTCTCCCCCCAAACAATAAATAAAAATTAAAAAAAAATAATTTTCAATGTGATATAATATCGAAAGAATACATACAGAAATTCTAAATATCAAGTTCATAACAGATTTCAAGTTCTTATAAAAATGACTATCCAATCTTCTGTTACCCTAAACCAAATATTTAAACTAGTTTATATACTACAGTATTCCTTGCGTTAGTTTGCTGGCTCTGCCATAACAAACCACCACGGTTGGGTGGCTTAAACAACGGAGGTTTACCGTCTCACGATTCTGAAGGCACAAGTCTAAGGTCCAAGTGTCAGCAGGGCTGGTTTCCTCTGAGGCCACTAGACTTGCAGATGGTTGTCTTCTCCCTGTGTTTTCACATCGTCGTCCCTCCATCCATGTCTGTGCCCTAATCTCCTCTTCTTTTAAGAACACTAGTCATACTGGATTAAGACCCATCCTAATGATCTCATTGAACTTAACTACCTCCTTAAAATTTTGTCTCCAAATACAAATTGGGGATTAGGATGTCGACATATGAATTTTGTGGGGACATAATTCAGCCCATAACACTCTCTGGCGAGGTTACAGTGTTTGGAGCATTACTTGGATCACAAGGTTTGGTTGAGGGCACCGCATTTCCCAATGGATTTTGTATTACAATTACTTTTAAAATTACTGATGGAATTAATGTACCTTGATTTATATGTCACTTTCTCATCGAAGCATTCCTGACCCTATTTAAAACTTCAAATTTGCTTTCTTTATTGTTCTATATAGTACTTATCACCTTCTATTATACCTTGTAATATACTTGTTTTGCTTATGGTTCATCTCTTCCCATACAATATAAGGTCTATGAGGGCAAGAATTATTGTGCATTATTTTTCACCTTTGTATCCCTAGAAAAGTGTCTACACATAGCAGACACACTATATACATATTGTGTAAATGAAATTTTTATCAATAATTTCTCATCTGAGGTGAAAAATATATTTTCTTTTAGTATAAAATGGCAGAGCCTTAGAAATAGAAAGAACCATGGCGGCCATCTAGCTTAGCCTTTCCTCTCCCTTACCTCAGTATTCTGAGCTGCCTACCCACTTTCATCCAAGGTAAGGACATACACTATAGATAAGGAAACAGAAAGTCAGAGAAGCTTAGTAATAGGACCAAGGTCCCAAAACTGAAAGAGAGAAGAGGTCAGGAGTTGAGCACTTGTCAATTTCCTTCCTACTACACACCCCTGATATTCCTAGTGTTTTCCTGTTCCTTTTAGAAGGAGTTTATTTCTATTTGTTAGACATTTTCTTACATTCCTCACAACCACTTGTAACCATTGGTCTTTATTCTATTTTTCAGGTAATAGCCTGAGTCCAGTCCTTCTTTCTCTTAACTGATCCCCACGTGTTAGAAGCAGTTAGCATGCCTTTTTTGAGACTTTTTTTTTTTTCAGTCAAAAGACAATCTATTCTTTCAACCAATTCTTATACTGTGTAGTTTGAAAAAATTTTTGCACCTTTGATTTTTTTCCCTGAAAGTATTCTTATTTGCCAAATGTCCTGTAAAGTCAGGGTTATGCCAAAACCAAACCAGGCTTCCACATAATGTTTCCACATCAGAGACTATAATGGGGCATGTACTTGATGTAAATATTATCTTTGGAGTGTGACATGGGATTATATTAACATTTTTAAAAAGAACTTTCTGGCACTTATAAACTCCAGTATGTCTTCATAATCTCATTATGATAAAAAACATATCATCATTCAAGCTATGATAATCTCTCATTCATCACTTTTTGCAAAGATTTGCTTTATCATCTGTGAATTCCACCAAAGCCCACGTATCTCCCTCTTATCTAAAAGGATACAGTTATATTCTTTTTCTAATCACTTTCTAAAATCCAGATATATTTTGTTCATAATACTTGGTTTACTTAAATACCTAACAACCCAAAGTGATGAAGTGGGAGAAAAAAATTAGTCTTTTTGCTCAAACTTCTCTTGAGAAATTACAAACAAGCTCATAAGATTTTTACTTTCTTTTTACAGTGTTCACATAGTGTTCTCCTATGGAGAAATTTGTTCTAAGTCAATTTTACTTGTTTTCCTTTATCAATGATTACTTTTGAATTCTTGAAAAATCTTTAATTTTATTTAATGTCAAAGTAACCCTTTAATTCTTTTTGGGAAAATGTGGAATATAAACAATACATTTATAAATTAATATCAGTATTAATTTCTGATTATCAGTATTAATTTCTGATTATCAGTATTAATTTGAACATAATTTCTAGGTGGTCAGCTACTTTTATTACAAAGAAAACACAGATTTAAAAAATTATGTCAGATTAATGATATTTAAGATGCAAAACATATTTCTATAATATTTCCTTATATTGTAGTTTTGGTAACTCAGGAAAAAAATTGTTCCTTTATCTAGATAAGAATGGAGCAGTGGAACAAAATAGAACTATTTTTTATTCCCATTGGAAGTGCAAAATATTTCAAAACAAATTTTGAGTCATATACTGCAACAATATGAACATGCCACAAATGTTGAAGACCAATTAGAGTAATTTCAACACACGCTGTCTCTCCCTGCTAACTTACTGTGCTGGGTATTGGATATTAATAAGTGGGTAGCAGAATCTCGGAAACTTTCCCCCTGAGTGGTTCACCTGTGTTTAAAATACTTTGTGAATATTTGAGAGAGGTAAAGACAACATTTAGATTTAGATTTTTATGGTCCCCCTAATAAGCAAATCATTCTTTTGGAATTTTTGTCTTCTCCCATGTTCCAGAATGTCTCTTAGTATATCCACAGCTGTGAAGATTAAAACTGGATTTGTCAGATAAGTCTATTTTTTAAAAAATAAACCAACAATAGGAAAATCCTAGGAAGGAAATACCAGCCAGCAGATATTGATTATAACGTTTTAGTTCATAAATGTAGTACATGTTTTTTCTAGATCAATGATCCATAAAGAGATATATCAATGATATTTTAATTTCACAATTCCTATGGCATTCTTAATCTTAAAAATTCTATATTCCTTTCTATTAAACAAACATATGAGCATAATGGGAACATGAAAAGATGATTAAGAAAGATATTTGACATTTAAGATCTGAGTTTTTTCTTTTTCCTGTGTAAATGTGCTATTTATTTTATTTATTGGACACTTACTAGCCCATAATAAGCTGACTCTTTTAAGACTTCACATAACTAGTCATCATTAGTTAAAGTAGAAGAAAAATTAAAAGAAGGGCTCTTTTAGGGAAAGGTTTTCTAAAATGCCCAGAGTTACTAAGAGGTATTTTTAGTACATTTGCCTCCTGAGGAGATTTATTTAAGGAGATATATAAAACTAACAAGAATGATAGTAGTAATAATGATAATGATGTCATATGGCACCTTTTAATTAAGTATTTTCACATAGTTAATATCAATTTGTCTCTGAATTTTGTAATTCCTATGACTTATATTTTAGACTTGACAACCTTTCTGTGAAGGTAACTAGTACTCTAAGTCAGAGGTGAGTATACTGAGCTGCCAGGTCACAGAAATGGGGAAGAACTAAAACTCACATTTCCCAGTGCTCAGTTCTCTCTCATGGAACTTGTCAGGGTCCACACCATTATTAAGGCACTGAGTCCACTGTTAAATTGGGTATGTTAAAATTGGAAGGGATAAAAAGGATGACATTATCAGTAGCCTATATCAAAGACAGAATTATTTATTAGGTTACTTAGATAATGAAAAAGTAGAAGTTTGAGATACTGGATCAAAGGACAGGTAGATTTTTATGAGAGGAAGCTATGAGTAAGTTTGGAGCATGACATACTTGTCTTGCTTCGGTCCTTCACAACTGGAGAAGTCCAAGAAACCAGGCCAGCATGACAAGAAGAGATTTTAAAACTGAAAGAGTACTCAGAAGAAAAGTGAAAAAGGAAGTAATAAAAGTCTTGGAATATTTTCCTGTGGCAAACTTGATCCAAAAGTTAGACTTAGGTGATTCCAGAATCATTTTAACATGTGTCTACTTAATTGAATTAGCAGTAAACTTTAATTACTTTTAATCTTGATTAATATTGCACTTTCCTGATTAGTGCATAAACAAAACATATTGTTGATTGATGTTCTAGAGACAAGTAGATGGCTTTCTTTTTTCCCCCCTCACTTTTTGTCAATTATTTCCATTTCTACTCACAAGTAGTAAGGTTTCAGACCTAATTGTCTAAAGTTGGAATTTCCCACACAGAGCATGTTTTTCCAATACCCCATGAATATAAACTTTAAAAAGTACAAAATTGGGTTAGATGTAAATATAA